GCTGATGGACTGCTATCATGCCGTGGAGTTGGACTCATGTCTTATATTCACATTTACACGGAAATAAAATAAATAAAACCAAGTATTATGAATCGAAAAGGTTTAATGAAATGTTTTAGATGCATGAATAAGGATCTAAACCAAGGGCCTGTTTAGTTCAAAAAAATTGGGCGGAAAACACATGGAGAACTACTGGCACGGTTTTTCCTCGTGTCAAACTAGTCCAATGAATTTCTATTCCTCAGTCTGGCTGGTTGGCAAGAGAACAATTGGGAAAACTTTTTAGAAACATCAGAAAATGTTATTTTTAGTGGGAAAGCTAATTTTGAGTTTTTAAGGCAATATTGGTGGGAAAACACGTTTAGTATTATCAACAAAAGGGGTTGATGGTCTTTAGGGAAACATGTGCAAAATTTTAACGTAATTTTTTTCTTAATATGCTCACTTCCTGATTTTAAATTTTGAACCAAAGCATGGATTTGTGATGAGATAGCTTTTCCTTTTATTTTTGTTGTGTGAAACAAAGCAAAAAAAAAGTGTTTTCTTAAGAAATGCTTGAAAAACTCAGAACTGATTTGTTTTCAAAGAGGCCCCAAGCTGAAACCATAATGACAAGGATTTTTACCGACACATTTTGGCTGCATTTTGTAATAAACCCAGTTTCTGCTTATCAGATGACAAAACAGAACCTTGATCCCTCAGTAAATTAACAACTGACTGGACATCATTCAAGTTTTAATAGCTTAAGCAACGCAGCTTGCTCTGAACTTGTTTAGCAGCAAACTGAGGCTCTTGCTTTTTTTCGTTGATTTTGGGTCAGAGGGGCATGCGTTTTTCTGATCCGAGCTCGTTCTCCCTGAGCCTGAGGCCACCAACTTAAAAGGTCACGAGCCAAGCAAAGAGAGAGCTACGCCAACAAACGGCCCAATCCACATGGAATCCGGCCCATTCATGATGTTATGGTCATGTTTTCAGTTGTGTATCCATATAACACGCAAACTCCATAATATCATGAATGGGCCCGATTCCACGCTATCAAGTATAATAAAAAAAAGGGGTATATATTTCAATCGACAGACTTTCTCCGCGCTACTTTCTTTTTTAACAGTTGATTGATTTTACTAATAAGGCAATTGTTTATAACCACTTTTCCCACTTGTTATCGTCCTATAAGTCCATAACCATATTTTAAATATTTATCAAGATCCGAAGGATAATATCGAATCTTTTATATCATCACAAGTGGTTCACAAAAACCAAAAAGTATCTCTTCAGGGAAAAAAAAACATCTCACAACAAAAAAAGACAGAAAGAAAAAGAAAAAGAAAAAGAAATCATAACTCAAAAATTGGTCCCTTTTATTACTTCCCAAATATCAGCAGCCGTCAGAGAGGTCCCATCCTCGAACAACTGGTCTTCCTCTTTTCCATTCCATTCTCCCACAAAACACGAAACAGCGTTACCCCACCCAAAATCCCTCACGTGGCGGCTTATTATTCAACACTGGACGGGATTCGAGGCTTTAAAGCGCCGGGCCCCACACCTCGATCCTTTCCCGCCTTGTACAAGCAATCAGTGCCTCCACGTGTCCTCCCCATCCACCGTTCGTTTCTCCTCATCAAAATCGTCGTGGCGTCGCTTGAATCCTCAGAATCAGCAACTGATCCCAAAATCTAAAATCTCCTCCCCCACCTCTCTCTCCTCGAAGCGAAATGGCGCGACCGGCGATAGAGGAGCGCAAGGAGAAGCCGCCACGTGGGCTTCAGGATTGCCTCGGAGTGTTAGGTACCGAGGTTTTCCTTTTCTTTTTATTTGAACTTGGCACCGTCTTTTAAAATGGGGTTTTTTTTCCTTCAATTTTTTATTCATAGCTATCGGTGCTCTGGGTTTTTAATTAGGGTTGTGGTAGATATATAGGGAAATTAGAGATAGGGGTAAAAGTTGAAGCTTTGATTTAGTGTGGAACTTGGAAGTTAGGTATCAAATGAAGTTGGGTGTAAAAATTGAATTGAATATGGATTTGACTAGGCTGATGACTCGATAGGTTTAAATTAAATCATTCGTTTATTCTTTTTTTTTTCTTCTTTGAGAAAAAAATAGGCAAGAGTTTTTAAATTAAGTTTAGTGAGTGCGATTACTATAGAAGGAATAATAAATACAAAGAAATATGTTATTTGCAAAGCAGATGTACTTTTCACGGGCCTAAAAAATTTAAATAAGTGGTACAAGGTCNAAACCCTCTCATATACCCTAGGAAAACAGCGCACATATATACCCTAACTTGTAAAAAAGGTAGGGGTGTGCAACCGGTCGTAAATAGGTAGGGTGTGCAATCGGTCGGTTCGGTTTTTGGCCAAACCGAACAGAACTGCCTATCATTCAAAACCGAACCGAACCTATTCAAGTCGGTTTGGTTCGGGTCGGTTTGTTCGGTTTTCACTTGGGTACAAATGTTATGTCCAAATCCAATTTCACCTCTAATCTATTGACGAAAAAAATCTCTTATACTTCAATTTATTGAAATTCATAAACTATCAGATGCTACTAAACATTAGATGTAGAAATCAAAATTGTATTCCTACCATATCTTACATAAATTTTTTAAGAGAGCTTACATAAATAATTAAAGTGATCTCAATCTGATAGACAAAGTAAATAAAAAATATATAATAATTTGGATGCTGGGTATAGTTTCTATAAAATTATAAGTATGATCCAAAGATGTATCAATCGAGAAGAAAAATCAAGAAAAAGTTAGAATCAACATTATGGTTGAAGTTTCTTACCTTCAAAGTGGATTGATCCAAAATAGAAGAAGCGAATAGATATTAGAGGGGGTAGGGAACTAGAGCTAATGAAAAGCCCTAGAATTGGAGAGGACACCATTGTTGTGGTATTTTGTCGTTATCAGGTCACATGAGAGAAAAAGATATCAAGTTGCATCGAAGTAACTCTATATGAACTATAATGGGTCGGGTTTAAGCGGATGCAAATAGTAATTAGAATGTGTAATACAATTCGGTCGGGTTGGTCGGTTTGGGTTGAAAAAACTTCAACCTAACCCGAACCGAACTCTAGTAAAAAACAAACTGAACTGTCAAATTTCGGCCGGTTCGGTCGGTTTGTTCGGTTTAATGACCATGAGAATATACCCTAGAATATTCTCACATGTTGGCCACATGACTATTTTAAATGCCATCTACCCTCCTTGCTGGTATTAATTACTACTTTTACCTACCCTTTTCAACCATGAGAGGTATTTTTGAAGAATGCCATTTTTTCCTCTTGGGTAAAATTTAACATCGTTTAACAAATTCACACAGCGAACAACTCAGGGTACATGTTTATTCTGTTGTGCAACTTAGGGTATATAAGTGTTTTTTGGTGAAATAATATGGCATCAAAGTGCAATTTAACCTGGGTACAATTAAAGCGTATGCAAACAAGAGATGAGATAAACATGATGCAGAGAGACTCAGCAAACTCTAAAAATTAAATAGAAAATAGCGAAAATTTGCAGGCGAAATGTGGTGATATGGCACAATTTCACTATAGAAGTATCTGTGGTATATAGGTCGCCAGCTAACTGAAAGCATGATTTAGTGAATGAACATTAATGATTATACTTCTTTATCGAAATTCTTGGCATTGTTTGAAACTTTTGGTAACAGTTCCTTTTGCTTCCATGTTACCATAGTTTATCATGTGTAAAAGTAACTTGGTTGGCTTGTGATGCATCACATGAGATACATAGTTGCTTGAAGTTTCAAGGAACTTTTGAGGGTAAGTTATTACACATCGACGGAAGCATTTATAAACTTTTGCTTGGTTTTAGGTCCAGGAGATGTTATAGCAGAGTATTATCAGCAGCAAATAGAAATGCTGGAAGGGTTTAATGAAATGGATACCTTAACGGACCGTGGTTTTCTTCCTGGAATGTCAAAGGTTATCTCCATTCCTTTTTTTAATTGTCTATAATAAAATTCTTCAAGGTCAAAGTGTATTTATTTATTGGATAATAAGTATAGGATTTAAATTGAGATTCTTGTGTTTTGCTATATAGGAAGCAGCTGTGAGAAGATTGCTAGAAATGAGACCTTTGCCATCAGAATATCAAACATAGCGAATATGGTTTTATTTGCTGCAAAAGTTTATGCTTCAATAAGGAGTGGCTCATTGGCGATTATTGCATCGACCTTGGATTCTCTTCTTGATCTTTTATCAGGTTTTATCTTGTGGTTCACTGCATTCTCTATGCAAACACCGAATCCCTATCAGTATCCAATTGGGAAAAAGCGCATGCAGCCACTGGTTAGTGTCATTCTGTTGCTTACAATTTGGTCAAGTTAATGTTCTTGCAAAATATAAATTCCTCTTTTTTTCTGTAGAGGTAGCTGTTGCAATACTAAAGCAGTTGTCTGACTATGTTTAGCTATTTCTCTCAGCCAAATCCGAAATTTTGGGATAAAGATGATGTTGTTGTTGATTGTCGTATGTTTGGCTATTTTTCTCCCTCTAGACACATAATGACGCTCTACTGTTAGAATTGTCTATAAACTTGCTTCATTTTTGTCAGTTGTACCCTGTTTCAACCATGATATTTTCTTTTTTTGGTTATAATTGCAGTAAATTTCCATATTTTTTTCTGGTTAGAAGAAGATATAAAATTCTCATGTGCTCTCCTGTCGATTGCTTGGGTAAACAAGGCATGTGCATGAAACAAACTGTGCATTTATCAGTCTCCCAAGAAGAATAAGCTTAACTAGGGAAATTGTTTGCAGAAGTTGGAAAAACAAAAACTCAGGGTCTGGATTGATAATGGCGTAAACTTATAAAGGCTGCACGTGTGATGCAGATGCCTGATAGTTTTCAGATAGATACACGCCACATGCTAAGAAAGACGTTGGAAATAGTAAGGACAGCTATAAGTAGTACAAGTCTTATAGTTAACATGAAGGGAGCGTCAATAATTTTGATCCATTACTTCATAAAATTTACCATGAAGATTTTTTTAACTACTTTTTTTTGGGACAAATTTTTAAAAACGACCTTCTTTCAAATTTAATAGGCAAAACCGACCGCCTAACACAAAAATTGGCAAAATCGACCATTTTTTGCACGGGACTACCAGTCCCGTGTAAAAAATGGTCGATTTTCCAATAAATCACCGACTCAGCCCCTTCTCCTCATCTCTCTCCATCCTCCTCCCCATCACCCGCCGAGCTCACCAAACCCACGCCCAGCCTCCACCCACCGCCTCCTCCGCCAGCTCACCCCCGACCACCCATCGTCAGCCCCCTGAACCGCCGCCCTCTTCATCGCCGCCCAGCACTCCCCTCCATCTTGCCGTGGTCGCCCCTCTATTGCCTCCTCCTCCCCTTGCTGCCGCCTCCTCCTCCCCCTCACGCCGCCCCATCGCCGTCGTCTCCCCACCATCGCTGCCACATGCCCGAAGTCTCGTCCATCTCCTCCTCGCCCGTTGCCTCAACCCTCCGCACCGACCTCCACCACTCACAGCCCAGCTCACCGCCGCCAACGCCCATCCAGGCGGGTGATGGGGAGGAGGATGGAGAGAGATGAGGAGAAGGGGCTGAGGGAGAGCGTCGGTGATTTATTGGAAAATCGACCATTTTTTGCACGGGACTGGTAGTCCCGTGCAAAAAATGGTCGATTTTGCCAATTTTTTTGTTAGGCGGTCGGTTTTGCCTATTAAATTTGAAAGAAGGTCATTTTTAAAAATTTGTCCTTTTTTTTGCTATGGTTCTTTATGTCAATCCCATACCAATTGAAATTCATAAAAATTAGTATCAGTAAATTGACCCCTTTCGCTATAGCAAGATGGACCGTTTGGTTAATGATTATATATTTACATCGTACAGTTTGGTAAATTGAGAAAGTTTCATATGTTGCTATAGCACAATGTCAGTCACGCAGTACAGTGGACCTGCTGTTTGAATTTTACATGATGCTCACAGGTTGTCATCTAAT